TCCCACATACACCATCCTGCTGCCGGAAAACTCCAAATATGAGCAAACGTATTAACTCACAACTGAAACTGATTCACTCGGAGTAAATCCTGCTAAAAACTACAGTAGCCAGCTGTTTTAGGAAATTAAAAAATTAAAGTATGTTAGTGGCTCAATTTTAAAGATTTACATCTTCATAGGAACCAGGGTCAGTTCAGGGTCCACAGTTTTTGGAATTTTCCCGAAATGTGTTGACGATAAGAAAAAGCTAAAAGAACAACAGACACATCTTTAACTCGAACTGATCTAGAAATGATACGATTCATGCGGATTAAAATGAAAACAGTTCCTCTTCTGCTTCTAACAGATTAACATTTGGGAGATACAAAGTGTTCACCAGACTAAACCAAAACCCTGCAGCACAGTCAGCCTTCAGCTAAGTGGTGCTTTCCCCTCTTCTTTTCTCTCTACAGCGAATGCCAGGCAGAAGTTGGCCAATCACAGGCCTGTGTGCTGTGATTGACAGCTCCTGTCGCTGTAACACTGCGTACAGTTACTCAGCCATCAGTCATTTCATGTCAATCTACAGCGCAAAGAACACACTGTACTCTGCACTACCAGCATGGACCCACACTGCACATATGGTACCCTTTCCATTGTAAATGTGTTCCTGATTGGCACTCTGTTAATGTGTATTTTTAGCCCATCAAGACCACTTCCATCCTCTTTGCTCATATTAAATCCTGGATGTGAGCACCAGTGAGATGTATTCTCCACAGCCTGATGGACACTAAATTAAATCTGAGTGAAAGACAAAACTACGCAGAGAAAGCTGGAAGCACCAACAGCGGCTGAACCCAACAAACCTCCTTCAGACACTGAAGACAACAGGGCTGAGAAGAGTGCACTGTGGGACACTTACTCCTTGTTTTATGGTGCCCGGAGTCCCAGATGGCTGGAGTTTGCCTCAGCGGGATCATTTAGATAAAGCCATGGAAGTTGTCAGCATTAGAGAGGCTAAACTGACTCATTATATGGCCCCACAGTACGCCGCACTCGAGGACAATAAAGCTATAAAAACTAGAAAGGCGGGATGGAAAGTGAATTTGGCTCAAGGTGCGACCAGGTGGCCGAGGAGAGCCGATCTGGTTACAGACAGCGGACAGATGGCAGAGGAAGAAAGATGGACAGACACGACAATGAAGGAAGCAAGGAGGTTGATGGGAGCTCAGTTGGCAGATGCTGCTCTGCAGAGATCAACAGCACATCCAGACCCGCCATGGCAGACGTCGCCGGTGTGACCCGTCCGTTGTACTGTGGCATTATTGTCCAGCCTGCGTCTCACCTGCTGCAGCACGCCTGTTATCAGCTCCACACTTATCATGGTAAAAGTGTTTTAGAAGTCCGGATTTCATACGGTACTTTAGTCTGTTTATCAACCGCTATCTTCGAGTTCAAGTGATTCCCATTGTCCTCCAGATCTTTTAGTATTAGGAGCAACTTCTCTCAGTTGTTTTTTAAGCTAAAAATACCTTCATGGTGTCCCTGCATTACAGCAAACAGCCCCAAACCTGCAGCCTCTTGAGCCTCCATGGTACACAGTGACAGTCGTACTCGAGAAGAGAGAGTTCAGGCTGAAGAAGTGTCCCCGATAAGACCCTGAATCCCTCCCAGCTCCACAGTTTGACCTCTGACCTCTGAGTGGAGGAAGGCAAGCGAAAATATCTGTTTTTTCTTTCCTTTGGGGCGTCAATATCTGGAAATGTCAGCAAACACATACAGTGCCTGTTTTTCTGTACTTGTGAGGACCGAGGAGACATTTAATCTCTGACCACTTATAGTGCGGAATTAAACCTGAACCGACTCTGAGCTCAAAGTCAACCTTCACAGACGTATGGGTAGATACACCTGAACACCTGTGTTTCTGAGGATTGTCCTCTTCTTTCTATTTCTATGGTGCTCAGAAATACAGCAACACACACATCATTAAGCTACCAGCGTGTCCCAGTAATCAGAATAACTGAACTGGAACCAGTGTCTCTCTCTTCCCTATCTGCAAGTGTGATTCAAGCTGCCTTTAAAGTAGAAACGTGCTTCAAATAAACGGATTTCTAGGCAGAAATAACCAAAATAAGATCAACATGTACCTTGCTTATTGAACCGCAGACTTTAATAGTACGGTTATTTTGAATGGAATAAATTGCCACACTGGATCAGGGCAGTCAATGGCGTCACAATACAAAGAAATACACCCAGGTTAAGCAGCTGATGCCTCACTGCAGGGCCAGCTGTCAGCCCCCTTCTCTTCCAGCAGCCGACGTTATCCACTTCACATTTAGTTTTATTCTACCTGTGAAACTGAGGGCCCGACCTGAGCCTCACCTTTTACACTTTCACTGGACTCTTTATCTTCTGGACCACAGCACTCACCAAACGGTTTGAACGGCACAGGCTTCATCCTCGGATAACGGCCCTCACAGCTCTGATCAGACTCCCATGACCCCTCGCTGTCTCTGCACCTGCCGCTCAATATGGCTGTCTGTGAAGTTGAGTGGACTGCAGGGGGGGGGGGCTCACAGATAATCACAGATAACAACATGGGTTTACGTGCGTTCGGCTCATCTCTCTGAGGATCTTTACATCTCCAGAAAAACGCCATCTACTTTGTTTGAGACAGCCTCGTCCAGCTGACAGACACGTTTTAATCAGCAGCCACCATCACCGCCACCACAGATATGATGTGGCCTGGCAGCAGCAGCGGCAGCGAGGCATTTGCATTATATTTGTGAAGCAGGATGCGACAGATACGGAGACACAAAGGGGAACTGCCAAACGGCCATCAGAGATCACCGTGCATTCAAATCAAACTCAATGGATCACGTTCAAAAGTTAAAAGGAGGCAGTGTTGACAACCAACTGCAGCTGTGGACTGAGAGGAACTTAACGACATTGATTCACTGATAGCTTTATTAAAAGGTAGATGGGAGGAAGATTTCTACAATAAAACAGGAACTACAAACAAGAAAAGAAAACAATATTATTAGGAAAATAACTGAATAATGGAAGTATTTTCTTCCTCTGCACCATAGAATATTAAATCAATCCACCACAGAATATAAAATCCACTATATTAGATGAAGTCCCATTCAAACACATTTCACTGTTCATATAGGTTTTAAATGCCAAAAACAAATGGCTGCACTATGCTAATGTTTTGTATATTTTAAGGGGGAAAAAGCCTAAAAGCCGTGAAAATAAGTCAGAACATCTCCATAAAATGAAGGAAGCTGCTGAAACAGTGAATATATAATGCAGACTAATGTGCGCAGTCACAGGTCGTTTTCGGTGGATGAGCAGCTGTTTCTCCATCAAATTAATGTCCAATTTAAAGACGTTTTGAGGTAAATGTGTGCATATCTGAAAACCAAAGTGAATTCCAGTGTGTGTGTGCTTCTATGTGAGGAGGAAGAGGAGGAGGAAGAGGAGGCAGCTCACCGTTGTTGCAGTACTGTAGCAGCAGGTTGGTGCTGCTGTCATACAAGCTCCCACACGAAGCTATCCTCTCCGACATCCTTCCCTCTCCTCTTTTTCCTTCTTTCTTTCCAGCTCTTCCTCCTCTCGGTCGGGTCCTTTGTCCTCCTCTCACCCCTCTCCGTCTCTTCTTCACGCCGTCACCCCTTCCTGTCTCCCCCACATTCATAGGCAGACAAACAAACGCACACCTTTACCTGGCCGAGCTCCCCCCCCCTCTCTTTCTCTCTCTCTGCTCTCCCGCTCCTGACTCACTGCTGCTGGCGTCAAGCTGCACATGGTGCGACAAACTGCACTTCCTCCTCCCACTTTCAGAATAAGAGTCACGTCGACTTGGAGATCACGTGAAGACAAATCAGGTGTGTGCCCCATTCATAAAAAAAAAACAAAAAAAACACATGTATGCTATTACTCTCTGTTTCTTACTTTTAGATTCACATAACATCAAAAAGAAAACGTGCCTTTCTTACATGTTCACGTTATTTTCTTCGTGCCTTTAGTTAGTTCAGTTGTTTCTTTTGGGTGGATTTCTCAGGTTTTCACATTTTTAACAACTTAAACTCTAATGTAGTCTACATCAAATGTATCTTTTTTTACAATGCTTTCTATTTTTTCGCAGATACTGACTCTGTTATTTAGCTTTAAGTGCAATTAATGCCCATTGCCTAATAGAGCAAAACATAACTATGACTTTCGGGCATTTAGTTTTGGCTACGTGTGACGATGCAACTTATTTTAGTAAACTATTTACTTATTTTTTAATCAATTTATTCATTATCGCCCATGTGACACAACCATGCGCTTTTATTTTGAAGAGGGACGCATCCGTTTTCCGGTAATAATCTATTTGACGCTCGCCAGCTTGACGACACATCCTCGTCTACCGCTGTTACTATAGCAACAGGCTCTCCACCGGCTCCGGCTCCTGATCATTGGAGGCGGGAGAGCCGACGGAGAACATAACCGTACAAACTGCACTTTTATCGGGAGAGTTAACCCGCTGGAGTCGGCGGTACACACACGGTACCTCCCGGTTCTCAGGCCCGAAGTTTCTGAGAGGAGAAATATGATCCCGGAGTTTGTGAATAATTGATCAGGAAACTCTGCCGGTCTTGGCGCACGTGTTCGTTAATTGATGCCAAAGATTATTTAGACCAAGCGGGAGGATTACCCCCCCCCCACACACACA